GTCTGACCCAACTTAGATTGTTTTTGCATCCACTTATTTACACCTTTCACCTTCAAACAAGGCACTGTACAAGCAGCCAACAATATCCAAAACAACTCTTGACAATGGCCAAGCAAAAAGGGTATAATATAAACCACCTGACTGGGGTACTGGTACTCAGACATTATTTAATGATAATTAATCACAATTGACTGAAGAATAAATGAGACTTTAATATAATTAGGGCGAGACCTCTCATAAAATAAACAATTAAATTAATCCATTACCGGGTATCATAACAATAATAATAAATCAAATATCCTGCTGAATTAATCCTATATCATGATTGTCCGGGCACTGAAACGGGACATACACAGTTTTCAGAAAGTCCCGTTAAAATTTCAACTTTGTTATGAAGTCAGTCCTCAATATATTTTAACCAAGTTTGTTTTATTTCAAATTAGTGTTTATTTGAGTTTTTTTCATTTCATACACCTGCAATGGGCAAATGAACTTTATATGATATCGATAAATTCCCTTTCCAATTGAAAAAAGTTTAAGACTTTGTGTAACATTTTATATTGCAGGATAAGACGATGTATTATATTATACATAAACAACTACAAAATATACATTTTAAATAGGAATTACCATCAGCAAAACTGATACATCTGTTACAGACAGTTACGCCATAAAAACCTTTCCGCTAAGTAAAATTCCACGAGCGATTGAATAACCAAAACCGATAGATATTTTGGGCATGAAGCCAATTTACAGCGGAATTGTGATTAAATTAACTTCTTTCATTTATTAATAGTAAACGTAGTCAAAAGTTGCAGGAAACAAAATGATTACGATGAAATTTTTATAACGGCTAACGTCATTACAGAATTTGTGCGGGAAATAATTCTGATAAACATTCCGATCCGTGTACTCTTTCCATTCCCCAACAATCTTCAATTCTAAGTCTAATATAACATCGATAGCTCAAGTCCACACTTATAGTACAATTATAAACTGGTTAGCTATAATCATAATCAACCGATCTGAATCGAATAGGACGTGAAACGCCATATAAATTCATTTTATCGGTTTTCTTGAACGAGCGAAATTTGAAAAAAAAAAAATTATTCTAGATATATTAAATCGGAAGACGTGTGAGTTAAGAGCTACCGAGTCCGTTATAAGCAAAGCTAAGTACAAACGTATTATTCTATCTGCCTATAACTCTGTCAACCAATCCGTGGCCAAATTAAGTTAAACGAATGATCGACCAATTTCATACTATATTATACCCCGGGCACAATTTTCACCGAGCGCTACCTGTCCTAAACCGATACTAAAAATGATATATCGCCTCTCGTCTCGGTTTTTAAAGTTACGTAAGAAACCCACAAAATCTAAAAATACCTCCACAGAACTGAATTAATTTTTTTCTGTCCGCCAAAACAACAATACACTAATATTTCTGGCGCTAATAGATTATTGGTACTGGTTTAGCATAAGTTAGACTAAGAACGGGAAAGTAGAGGCGCCTAATCATGCATGAAAACAACAAAACGCAAAAAGTATATCAGTCAGAAATAACAATTCACCGAGCATGGACCAAGCGAATGAGGCAAACAAACGCCATATCACTAAATATTTTATTTATAACATATACTAACAGATTCACTTCAAAAAAGTATTTATCCAAGGAGCGGGGAAAGTCGCCAAGACGCTAACTCTCTTTGCAAAATTCAGCTTCGGCGAAAATTGCCATCTTTTTCTACTCGAGGCAACATATGAAATGAACTATCTGCCGCAATAAAATCTTTGTACTTTTTCCCACCGCAGACGAATAATAATGTCATCCATTATATCATTGAACGTTTTAATTAGTTATTACCGTTGTTACGTCGTAGGTAATCCTTTATGATACATAAGATGGCGCACCCAAGATATTGGAAAACAAGAGTTTCGATTGCAAAGAAAAAGCAACGTTACATAAAGGTAGACGAAAGACACGATTTTCATATTTACCCGGGAGAGAGAAATGCCGATAAGACGACTTATCAAAATCAATTTACGGCCTGCCGTCCGGATAACGGACAAGATAGAAAATGAATAAAGCTAACCAGTTATTAATTAACGAGATTCGAACCTGCGCGGCAGCTATAAAACTTGAAGACAGGAATGCCGATAAAACGATTCAATCAAATGGCTAATTGCGACCTCTCGACTTCCAGATCAGATCAGTTATGAAAATAGTTAAATGTTTATCGCCCTAACTGTGAAGGATACCACCGATCAGGTATTAGGTAACCATAATCCGCGGGAATCGATCCTGCGTAGCCACAATAAATCGACTATCGATTGGTGAATTTTAAAGGCGGATACGTTAAGAATTTCATTAAAGTAGAGTATAAAAATTAAAATTGCAACTTTCACACATTTCCCGTGATTTGACGCAATCACGGATATCGTCACGCTTTCTATCCATATTACCCTACGTTCAAACTTAAAAAACATGCAAAAACCAAGTCGGACGATTGCACTGGACCAAATAACTAGCACTGGATTTGCAAAACGCTATCGAACTATTATAGTCATTATCAATCTTTAAATTACACCGACTTCATCTAAGAAAATAAAAATATGACAATACAAACCCTACGGGCACACCGTGGACTGCGGGTTCATTAGCTTTATTTTATAGAACGGCCGAACATAACCTAACGATAAAAACAGGATATATCTACCAAAAACGCTTGGTTATATACAAAATATACAGTATTTCGAGCCAGGCTCGAAAAACTACAGAATACAATAATAGCGTCAAATGAGGCAAAAAGGTATTTGTTATAGCATGATATCGTAACCTGAGTTCAAACGAAAATATAAAAAATATAAAACCGCACTTCAAAGATGATAATCGCACACGTCAGACGTAATATTTCGTAAACCGGCTTTTTACATTGTATGGAAATTTAGCAGAAGATAGAAAACCGATGATGGGGCTTAATAATATGGCGAACCACAGCCAATCGTTCGGTTAATTTTTTAGGAGTGGATAAAATTTTCGTTTTTGCCGGGGAGTGGATAAAATTTTCGTTTTTGCCGGGGAGAGAAAAGATGTTTTGTTTGTATAACAGTGATAATATATTTGTGAGACTTATCTCAGTAATTGACTCGACTCGATTGACTCGTGATTCGAGGTTTAGAAACTTCTATCCAACTTTTCTTACTGCACCTAGGTGTGAAACTGCTCGCGAAACAAAATACCGAAATATCCCACGCAAACTATTGGCGCCAAATATTCCATCATGTGACTCATACTGATAAATGATGAAATATTATTGGCTTACACATTGCCTATGGCAATCATAAACAAACAAAATTAATTGATTATAGATAAGTTAAGATAAGTAAAGAGGTTAAGATTACGATTTTAAATCTAAGGTAGTTACTTTTGTTTCATAATTGTTGAATTAGAAAATGAGAGTCATCAATATCTCTTTAGCCCGCCTTTGTGAGAAGTTTCAAAAATAATATGAATTGTCTTATATCACGCAGAGCTCGGCTAATATGACGTCATAATTATAATACCAAAATCCAAAAATTAAAAAATAGGAGATTTTCCTATTAAATGGCCAGTTTCGCGTTCTATTTTAGATACTTTATGAAATTAAATTGGGCATATCTCGTATGATATTGAGGCAAAATATAGTCATTGGAAGGTATTAAATTAGGAATAATTGTAGGCAAAACTCTAGAATACAACACAATCACAATTGTGACATTACTGTCACCTAAAAAGCGCTCGTGCTAGAGTCGAACATATTATAAATGCAGAATACTACCAAATTACAAACGTTTCTAAAACAAGCGAGTAATGCTCAAATGTATGAACTCGAAGGTTGCGCATCAGTAAAGGTACAGCGGACCCCTTGGATCTCCGCGTTTTTGGAAATGTTGGCGTACTGACATCAATAAAAAGTGTTCCCCTTTTATTGAATTAAACATAAAAATTTTGGGTAAAATACCGGGCCCTATAAGCATCAGAGGAAATTCGAACAAAAATCTTGGAACGTTGAAATGATTGGACGAAGAAAAGCGATTTCTCCCAATGAAAAAAGATAACAATTCAGCAAAACGATTCACAATTACACCTTGTGTCTAATAATATCACCGCACATATTCTGACCTATCTAACTCCGATTACAGACTACACACTGTGTTACTACATTATATCCTAGAAATAATAAAAACTCAAAAAAAGACGAACTAAATCCCATACAGATCAGATTATAGACACAATTTAAAGCGGCATGGAAGCTTGAAAGAGAATCTGAACTCTACTATCATTTCACGTTTCGAAATCGAGAAGGAAAAAAAAATCGTCAGGAAAAAGTGTGGGCAAATGATTACATAAATGTCACTTACATATTGCAGTTATAACATTCCGTCAGAAAATTGTGCAACTTTCCATGATGACGTTATGAATTTGACATTTGTAACTTAATACCTATAGAAGTGGGCGATAATATTCTGGTTTCGTTTTTAGTATGTGCGACCTTGTTACGAGTTCATAGAATTTCTCAAGAATAATTCTTTAGTTTTGCAAGTAGTGTAAAGGATGCCTGTGTAGAAGTGGTGCCAATGTTGAAATTAGTGCAGGACAGACGGCCAAATAACTTGATATATATATAAATCGGGGCCAAAAGCAGACAAATGAACAATGTTTTTCTGATTAAGAATTGTGGTCTCTAGGTAGCAATTATCAGGAAAATATCAAGGGCTGTGGATTCGGGCGTCTGATTTGATATGATTTTATAAATAGTGGGGTCAAAGTTACGACAAAATTTTTTCACTCCCCATCTCCCCCCAAGTTGACCAATTTTGACTAATTATTCTCAACAGAAAATTGAAGAAGACTTGCAAGTAGCAAACACCTGATTTTTTCTATGGTTGGAATTCGTTCACTAATATTGTACTATATTGTTCAAACCTAATTCATCATGCACTGTAACTTAACAAACCTGAGCGACGTCTTCAAAATCTTCGTGTCTTTTCTTCAATTGCATAGCACGATGTAAAGATTTACCAACTCCAGTATATTTGGCAAGAAATGCTTCGCCATGATGCTCTATCCAATTCAATACCTAAGGGATAATTACAATAATAATGATAACTGGAACCATAAGATATCTACACTATAGCATGATATATTGAGAATTGGAGATGAGAGTAAAATAATATGCAGAGGTTATAAAGTTTTGTAAATTAATTTGCTATAGCAGCATTTCTTAAACTATGTGAGCTTCTTCGCAGTGTTATGCTGGAAAGGGTCAAAATTGTGACTAATTTGTTCACCATGCGACTCGGCCATATTTTAGCTCCTCTGGTAAAAAGCATAGGCATTCTGGGGCTAAAAAAGTTTAAGAAACGACGAGATATAGAATTGTGAAGGCCACTCGTTCACCACTATTTATTTTATCTTTCTTGTATTTGATCAGCGTTGGATATGTTGGCACCACAGGTTAAAAATTTCAGGTACAATTCCCGAGCCCACCACCTTACCTAGGGTGTAATAAATTGGGTGCCAATTCCAAAGACGAAAAAAATTCTGGCCCTCTCTAAATGAAGTGGCTCCTCCAAAGGCAATATAAAAAGCGTCATACCTACCACAAGTACTGTTAGCTAAATGAAAAGCCATGTATCCATATAATTAAGCTACATTATCGGCTTTCGTTTTCCAAATATATATTGGTAGAAAAAAATACCATGATATGTAAAGCCAAACCTGCTCAACGTCTTGTTCATAAACTCTTAGCTGATATCTTTGTGTCAGAAGTATTTTCTTTTCTCTCCATAATTTTTCCAGTTCACGATGATGATGGAAAACCTGGAGAATAGCAGTTTTTAAGTTTTTGATTCAATATTTATTTATTTCATTTATAATCAGAAGGGTAATAATGTAAAATAGCAGTCTCCAGTGTTAAAAAAGTACTGTATACTGGGCTGCCACTTTTTGTAAAATAGTGGTGAAGTCTGAGAATATTTGCACCCGACTTCAACTCTACTCTGATTATCATTTAAAAGAATGGCTCTGACACCAGACTTGACTTGACAAAGATTAGACTCTTATTCTTGATCTCGTCCAGATATTTGGAGAAATATTGACCTAAACAGCATGCAACCCTATAACTCGCAAATAATGTCGAATTCCAACTCCATGTCCCCAAGTATTCACAAACAAATGAGTTAATGCAACACATTATTAACAAGATCTAGTGTGATATCGATAATGAGCATGGGAGGATATAAAGCATCGGCCCAGGGATGTGGATGAATGTGCTGAGCCCACAGGCCCATTGCACATATATATCCTTACATGTGATCAGTGCTTTTTGCCAATTTTTTCAGACCACCTTTGACGGGCCCAAACTTTGCTTCGAGCTTTTTGGATATCGTTCTCGCATGCTCTCGTCATGCTAATGGGCCCGCAGACTTACAATATACAACTGTACAATTGCACTTACTTCATGTATTCTGTCCAGCACTTGCTGTGAAGCACTACTGTAGTCTATCAATTGGGCTACGGCATCATCTGTACTTGGACTTGCAGGTTTCTGAAGAAACTCCAAAAGTGCTTTCCCATCTCCATGTGGTCCACAAACCTGGAAAGACAGAAGCATGAAGTTCAGCATCAGAGAAATCGTCTCACCACCTAGCTTACCTTGGAACAAGCGTTTATATGAGCAGCCAATGCTACTTGGGGGCTATTTTTTTTTTAACAAGACCCCGAATCTTTCCAGTTCGGCATGGGAATGGCGACAGAGATTTTCAACACGCACTACCAATACAGCTCAATCCCACGCTTCAGCCACTGCACTGCAGGTCATTGCATCTACTTATTAATAGTAATAAATTGAATTGTTTCTAAGTCTCATGTGAGCTCATGCCTGCATGAAGCTCTTAGCTCTGTCTAGATATGAATGAAGTTTTTGTTTCCAATTCAATGATATATTTAGCAAACAAGAAAGCTTAGTGAATCACTGATTTCAGATATCAGTGCCGAATCAGAAAGATTCAAGTCCTTTAAAAAATAGTAGCTTTGTCATTATCGTTAGATATCGAAAGCTGCTTGTTTTGAGCAAAATGTGTGAATAAGCGCTGTATAAAATATATTGGCAATCCTATCCTGAATGATTAAAGATATTTTGAGCTTTTTCTTCTAAAGTTACAAAAAAATTCAATCATAATAGCAAATTTGAGCTATCGATTGGGTTTCTATGAGACTAACTAATTCTCAGTCTTCTATACTTCAGCGCCAGTGGATCCGTATGCATATAATGCAAGGATGCTGTTGGAAGAGTAAAGATAACTATCCTAAGGGTTTCAAGAGTCTTCTTGCAAACGTGATATTTCAAAGAAATTTTCATCAAAAATTTGCAACCCAAATAACCCCAAATTCTGACTGTAACTTACTTCATGATATTCGCCAGAAATACTGTCTTGTAATTGATGATGTTTTTGAAGATGATCTTCCAATGTTGCAATGTCGTCAGGCACGATGTACGTCACGGCAACACCAGCAGATGACATTCCTGATACTCGACAATCTTCTTTCCATCTCGATGCGTTTCCGATGAATTGTTCAACTCGTTGATGAAACTTTACAGCAAGGACGAGAAGATGACTGGAAAAATTTGAAAATGGAATTAATGAAAGTGCACTCAAAATTAGTCTTGACTCTCTTTTCAGAAAACAAGAAAGCAATGCTCGAATAGATGAACATGAAGGGCTAATGATAACCACAATGTCAGCAAAATTTAGCCAAATACTCGAAGAATTGTGCCGAATGTCATAAAGTGTTTTCTCAGTCAAAAAACAGCAAAATTCTGGGTGAAATATCGAACCTCGTAGAATTCAAGCTACTTCATCTATCTTTAATTACTGAACATTTGGAATTAATTGGTCTATTCGGTATGAAGAAATGTGATTGTTTTCATAGCAACCCAATAATCCAAATAAGACATCAACAGCAACAATTTTGCAAAGAGATCCACTCTATGTTCAATAATACACAATCAAATTTGGCTATGTGGAACGAATGGAAAACATCGTAAACAACAGTCCTGTTCCATTGCGATGAAATTACATGTGCCCCTTTTTACTGGTCATAATGACACCAAGCCCAAATAAAGTGTATTTAGAGTCAAATAATACCTTCTCTCATCTAATGCAGCAGCAAATATCTTCCATTCTCTGTCTAAATTAGCAGATATTCTTCTTATATCATCAGATGCATAATGTCCTGTTTCTAGTAACCTGTTTGCCACTGACATTACACGATGCACATTCACATAGACACTCTGCAACATAGAAAAAAAGTTATATGCTACTACAAAGTGCCAAGATTTACTGGAGAAAGATTATAGCAGTGAATCATGTGTTACTGAATATCAATTTCTGTGAGAATTTAAAACAGTTGACTTCAGCTAGTTCAGGAAAACAACTATAAGGTTGTGAATACCACATTACTGGAATTGTCCGAAAACTTTTTGGCATAACACCCATAGATGTGTTGAAAAAAAAAACAGGTGAAACCTTATAAAAGCTTTAGAACAGTTTTTCTCAAACAGGGCACTCGGCATCCTTGAGGGCCACAGAGTTTTTACCGAGTACCCCGAGCAAAGATCTTCAATAGGTAGCTTCGCAGATGACTTCACTGGTATTGCAAAAGCTTTTGTTATCAAATTCAGAGTTTGGAGTTGAGTAAAAATTCCTCTCAACCTGAACTCAGAATCCAGGTCAGAGTTGAAATACCGTATTTGTCAGTCATGCGTCGAGTTGTTTTTAAATTCAACTGCCGATTTGCTATGTTCGCCAGTCAGACTTGAAATTGCGGTTTTACTATTATGTCATAGATTCCCTTGCAACATTCGCTATTTCGAATCAATTTTTTTGAACGTCCTTGAATTATTTGGTACCTCGTAGCAAAGAGTAATGACTGAGTCTTCAGAAGACCACCACAGTTCATGAAAGTTTGAGAAGTAGAGCTTTAAAAACTTTTAACTTACCATTGAATTAGTTGCAAATTGTCTGTGCTGTTCTTGTAGTTCAGCAGTTTGTTGATGAGTAGTTCCGATCTCCGAACATTTCGTAATAAAAGCAGTTCGATTTAACTTGATCCAATCAAACATCTGAATTTGAATGCAAGACAAAATTGAGAATATATAGTAATCTGCACTCACTCATGATGAAGGCTCTCGAATTATTGGAAAACTGGATCTGAAACTGGCGACATATAACAACAGATACAGGCACAGCTATGGGAGTGTTTGAATATAGGCTAATAAATTATGTGTTGCACTTTGATATTTTTTTATAAAACCTATAAAAGATTATGACCTAAACCACAGGTTCGCAAACTTTGCAAACTGAAAATTTCACCTTATTATCATTAAGTTGCGACAAGCTAAAGTTTTATAATAGATGAATTTAATCAATGCAATACACAACCTTGTTTTTGTGCACACAGACATCATTAAGTGACTGATTGTACGCTAGTAAATACTCATCAATGCAAGACTTAAAAGGAATTCATGTTTTTAAAATGAAACATTGGGCATTCATATTTTTTTTGTCTGGTGGGCGCACTGACAGTAAACAAGTGAGATTTTTGGACAACATGAAAAAAGACCAGTCACGAGATCTTCAGAACCCACCGCATGAAATCGAAGCAAAGCCATGGTGTATTCCAACTCCGCATCTCTAGTACATTAAATAAATAATTCATGCATCAACCGGTCAAATATTTCTCCTAGCAATGACCTTTGGCCAAGCATAAATGGATAAAAATTACTACTTAAACAGTCAAGATCAAGCTTGTCACATATAAAAAAAATTCCCCATTTTTGCGAGGCAAAACCTAACATTGTGGCTATAGAAATAAAAGGAGATGGTCACAATTATGTCAGAATGTGAATCAATTACCCAAATCATTAAATTACCTTTAAATTTATAAAAATTAAATTAACAATGGATTACGAAAATAGACAAACAACAACTATGTCCAGCAAAGAGTTTCAATGGTCTGAAAACGCTCAAAATCAGGTTTATTGGATTAAATTTAAAGTTATAGTCATTTGAAAAAGTTCCTATTATTGACATTAAATTCAAAAATACAAACTATCTAAAAATGGCATCCCCTAATTGGAATCAGTATTAGGCACAAGTCCCCAAAACCAGAATTGAGTTGCAGGTCATTTGAGTCTCAAGTCAATCACAGAATTGAGTCCCACTCGAGTTCGAGTCATTTTATTTAGATGACTTGAGTCACTTCAAGTCTTTGATAATAGTGCCAACCTGCGTCAAGGTAATATGAAATAGTGAAGAGAAAAATTTTGCATGAATTATCAAGACCCGTAAGACTCGATAAAAATCTAAAATAAAAAGTGATTCTTGAGATTTATTCCATCTTCAAGAACTAAGAATTTAAAGCCGATTAGTTACGGAAAAAAGATTTTTTCACAAAAACAACAATTTTGCAAAACAATGTATGTATGTATGTATAATTTTAGTGTTCAAAAAGGCTGAATTTTTTAAAAAAATGGAAATTAAATTTCAGCTCTAACTTTTGATAAACAAAATTTTAGGATTTTTCTAACCCGGTCAGGTCATTTATAACCATTACCAACCTTATTTGCGTCTTGTTCGAATAAACGTAGTTGAAAACACTGATCAAGTTTGACTTTTCGTAGATGCCACATATTATGAAGTCTATGGCGAGTGTTGTGCAATTTATCAACCAGACTGTGAATTCTTGGAGCAGCACATTGAAAATCTGAATTCCCGGAAAGAGCTACTCCACCAGAACTCCCTGAAATATAGAAAGAAAAGAGTAAAATAAAGAAAATATGATGAAATTGGAAATACGGACACAAGATGGGCATGTTTTGGTTGATATTAGAATCAGAGTTGGAGACACATGCCGTCCTTTCGCTTAGTTAAGGGTCGTAGTCGAAATTTTAAATTTATCAGAGTCAGAAGTTCAAATTTTTAATGATAATAAGTAAGCTTGAAATTTCCAAGTAGCATTTGGTTAAGCATTTTTAACAAATAATTAAAGAATTCTGCACACGAATAGCTCCTGTTACCAATATTTCATTTTTTCAGGATTCAGATCTAGAGTCAGAAGCAAAATTTCTTTGAGTATGCAAGTCGGAGTCCTAATTTTTTTGTGCTCGAAATTTGAAGTCAGATTTCGACTCCTCAACTTAACTAATCAGAGCAACACAACCCTTCCAAGTGGAATTTCCATTGATACGTGTCTACTAGTTTAAACCAATGTATTTGCGCCTACATACATTGGAAAAGGCTTATTATTATGATAAATATACTTTTCCTAAAACATAAAAAAATGTAAAAAACAGAAAGATATGAACAAAAATACCAATATAATTGTGATTAATGAGTTCTGACTAAGATAAAAATTACTAAAATTTTGAAATTTGAAAACTATAATCAAATTTTTTTTAATTAAATTTATATGGCACTCATTCACGTCTCTCGCTCCAAACAACGCCCCATGTACGCGGCCACTGATATCTAAAGAAATTTACCTCAAAAACTAAGCCAGCAGCACACAATTAAACATGCCATTCTTAAGGTAAATTTCCAATTCAAATATTTTTGCATTTACTTTATATAAGAAAAAAAATTATTTTAGGTATATGAAACCAAGCTTTATAAGTGCTTTGTAACAACAATAATGACGTGAAAAACCAAAATTACAGGTCACTGAACAAATCTGAAATGATGGCAAACCAGCAATTTTCTCATGACAATGTGGTGGGAAAATTTCAGCAATAATTCAACAAAAACTATATAATTGATGGGATAAATAGCTATTTCCTAGTATGAATTGAGGACGCATAGGTCAATTTAAAATCAAGACACAATTCAAAATTAAAATGGATTTGGTAAAGCGAGTGTCTAAAGTTTGACTACTAAAATTTCTGCTATTTGGAAGAGAAAGATTATGTTTTGTAAGATTTACCATTTTTTAAATTAAAAAGATGATTTAATAAGACAAATTTTAAAAACGGGAAGGTTAAGATATCAATTCCAAATCTATATGGAAACCAAACATATCATTTTTTATACAACATGCATTCACACCAAATACACCCTGCACAAGTTCCACTGATACAACGATGTTAAGGTATTAAATACAATACTTTCAAAAAATATCCATATAATAGTATTAGTAGGTGCGATAGCATCAGTAGCATTTGTGTGTGCTGTACCTTGTCGTCGCAAATTTAAATACTTTTGAATTTTGAAACCCATGTCAAAAACCACACTCAAAAGTGTGTACTAATAAATTTGGAATATGCCGAATTGTAAAAGGAAAAACAAATTAGCTCACTACTTATCATACTACTGCTTGGTCTAGTTCGGAGAAAAAAAACATTTCTCATTATTGTTCAAGACCAAACTCAGCCGCAGATTGAGAAACTAGAGTGTGAAATTCATGCTCAAAGAGTAATATATTAGGATTATGCCCATCCAGAAAAATTCTGAATGCATCCCTGTTAGCTCGTGCTTGCGTAGAGCCTAGTTCAGAGTAAAATCAGTTTTCATTTTCATCTGGGACAAAATTTAATCAAATCAAGTCAAATCTCAGCAAATGAGAAATTAATCAAAGATACAAAACCCAATGATTATAAATAGGGGAGACAGGATATAAAAATAATTAAACTTGATAATTGCTTTATTCTTTATTGAAACGGTGTCTCACACAGTCACACTGAATAAAAATAAATCAATTTTAGAATCAATCAAAATTAAAAAACTTGAAATTAATCAATAACATAATTATTCATAGGTATTAAATTAAAATAAAATTATCACAAAAAATTTCGTGATAAGTCATCTCATCTAAAAAAAAATTTCAAATAAGTCTGAATCACTCAACAAATTTATGAATCACAAAAAAACAAACAAAAATAATAAAATCATAATATTGAATCAACATATTATTAAAAATATTGTGATCACATCATCAAATGACGTCATTCTAGCCTTGATTGTAAATAACATGTCAGTTAATAATATACGAACCGTTCATATAGTACTTGTATGCTTTCAAAACTGAAGTAAAACAAGCAGAATTTTAATGATTTTTTAAAGATACTAAAATGTATCAGATGAGGGATAACCAATATCTATATCCACTATCTACTGACATCTTTTTAAGAGCAGGAGCTCTTATCTTTATCTTCTCGTTTCCCCTTGCCAAGTTTCGAATAAAAGATTTATCTCTCGTAGAGTGTCTATACCAGGTGTGGGCAAGGTTTTTGGACCAGGGGCCAAATATTTCGCTCATCTAGATTGGCGGGCCATGTGAGTGTGACGTAAAAAGTTACATTTTATGCACAATATTTACAGTGTTACAAAAGCAAACGTGGAAAACAATAACCTTTTTGCCAGAACTGAATTTAATCGCAATCTCAACAAATTTCTATAACAAAAATTGGTTTTAGTTTGGTTGAGGCAGCATTAGGCGGGCCATATTGAATTACCAAACGGGCCGAATTTGGTCCACGGGCTGTAGTTTGCCCACCCCTGGTCTATACAGTAGCCTACTATCATGTTGTGTGTAAAATCTGAAAAGGGCACAAGACCAGACCATTTCTCCGCAGTGAGAGTATAATTAACCCAATTGTAGGAATGTTACAAAACGCGCTTTTTCGCGCCAAAAAATGTACGCACCACGTCTGCTAAGTACCGTAACGCCGTGTCAGAATACCGCTCATAAAAACGACTACGGACTGCCTGCTGTTGTTTGGAATTCCATGAAATTTGGACATAACTTAGATAAAATGCGCAACTATGATTTGGTATTTGAATTTTTTCATTAGCGCATAAATTTCCCAACATTCGGGGCTTTTAAAAATTACGCTAAAGTTATACGTACTGCAAATTAATGATATTGTCTATGGACACCAATAAAATATATATGGACGCATGTATGTCATTCCTAACTTGATACTTACCAATTTTTATGAAGTTTGTTCAATCAGAACATCGTTAATTATTACCCGCAACGAGGCACTGTCAAACTAATATGCTCAACTCCAGGGTTGATTTGCGACGATCTTCCGACGGCCTCAATGATCGCTGCCAGAATAAAATTCTAAAGTAATCTGAATTTTCTTAGATGTGACGCACATCGAAAAATTAAAGATTGATATGTGTTTGTTTTTTTCGTTTTTATTAAAGTTCTTATTAAAAAAAAGTCAATTCGCATACGTTTACGAAACGGTACAAATTAATTCAAGGCACGAGAAGTATGATCTTAGCACGCGTCTGTCAACGCGCATCAGTTATCGACTGAATGCCAACATTTTCCCTCGCAGCGATTTCTCTCGTTTTGCGTTTCACTAAGCGCGGTAAATCTCCTACGAGTTAAGGAATATTAAATTATAATTAATCGTTCATTAAGGTCGGATATGAAAAACGCTAAATCAGTTAATTGCCGCGTATGCGGGGACTTGCGTATTGGGAAAGTCGTTGCCAACCAGAGGTTATTTAAAGTTCAGAAACTTTCTCGTACATAATTAATTAAAAAGCAGCTAATATCGTTAAAAAAAATTTGTAAACTTTTTTGCATTAGGTTCTTCTATTCACAATAACTTTTCGTTCAAAATTTTTTTCGATTACCTCCAAAAATAGCCGAGATACATTCTGTTGTTTATCGGTCTGACATTCTCGCGGTCACAGTTTTTGAGTCGGCGCAATACAATCCTTATGGAAAAAATTGGCCTATCGGGTGGTACTTAAATGCAGATATCTCCGTTAATTCTTGACCATTTTTCACAAACTTGGTATTGTTTTCTTATTTTCACTTAGATCTATCCACTGGTGCAGTTTTTATCTAAATCGGATGAACTTTAATTTTTTTGTAACATACCTACCAATTGTGCAAGAAAGTACTTTGTATGCATTATTTTATGTTATACACAGATTTGACCTATTTGGCCAGGTACTTCTTGCTACCTCCAAAGGGTAAATTTCACGCCGACCGAAGAGAAATTCAGAAGAAAAAAAATTACGTTCCCACATTTATTGCTTGAAATTTAGCATAAATTTTGATTTAATATGAAAAATTACAATTCTTCAAAATAAGTAATTTTTACAACTTTGTTGTTAATGTAAATCTGTTTCATTGGCAACAAATATTAAATTTATTCAAATTGTATTTGCTGAATATTCCTACTAGGTGGAACAGAAAAAAAAAAAACCTCAACTGTTTTATGAGTAGGCTACATCTATAAAATTTTAAAACTCGGCAATGAGTCCAGATATAAAATTTAACAAGCTTCTGAATACACGGATCTCTGTTTAGTCAACTGTCAATAAACTTCATTTACACAAATTTTCAAATTTACAATTTACAATTTATTTATACGATGATTTATATGTGTCTTTCCTGTTGAATAAGTATCCACTTTCAAAGTCAATACACAAAAAAATTAATTGAAAGCATATTTACTGTCTTTATTAGATAAATAAAACAGAATTTTGTACATATTTCTAAAATTAGAAATATAGGTGATACTTATTCATGATATACTTATTTAAAAGTATATTATTCGATTTGTTATGGTCTTACTGAAAAATTCATCTCTGGTGAACGCCATACTAAAAATTCCCCTTATCATCCTAAACATCAAGATCTGCAGTACTTACAGTGATGTAGGTTACACAAATATATAAAACAAATGAGTAAAATTACCAGAAAACCATACTAAAAATTCTCGTTATCATCCTAAACATTCAGATCTGCAGTACGTACAGTGATGTAGGTTACAGAAATATATTAAAAAAAGGAAAATTACCAGAAAACCCACTGTCAGCATCACCGTTGCTTCCGTTAATTCGTTTCAGTAACTTATGTCCTTGAGTATCAAGTTGTTCAATAGGAGCGTGGATTATCTTCTTTTTCAGTTTAACGTGGTTTTCAATCATTGCCTAAAAAGTAGACTTATTATAATGGCTTTCAAATGATTACAAGACAGGATATCATTTGTTATGCAGGGCTGAGAAGTCGAAGAAATCTACCATCGACTCAGACCCTTGACTATGGCGTGTGAGAATTTTCAACTCTGACTCCAGCTTTAACACCTTCAATAACTTCAATAAAGTTAAATCTTGACAACAAAAGCGTCTTTTGTCTGCATTGAAAGACTGCATTGACTGTGACGATGAGGAGTTTGAAAATACAACTCCAGAAAAAAAAAGATCCCACTCAAACTCACAGCCCTGCATTCAAAGATGGTTTGACCAAATTAGAATAATCTACTATTCTGAATATCTTTTGAATTACTATTCTAAAATACGGAATATCACATAATAAATTTAAATTAGTTTGTGTTCTCCCAATAAATATCCAGAAATCATTGTAAATTGAGAATTTGGTATTTGCAGAGTATTTCAGACTATAGTTTCACAAACCGGGCACATGACATCTCAGTGGGGTCACGACCAAAGTCTTCACTAGGCTTTCACCTTCACTTCGCATGATGACTATATTATTTCGAAGTAAATTGACCGATTTGTTTATTTCTTTAACCATAATACATTTATATTTTTACTATCATTTATTATGTGGTGATTGAAATAACAAATGAAAAAAAAATCAAACAGGGTGAAGGTCTTTGAAAGGGGGTTACCAATCACAATGTTTAAGAACCACTGGTTTACCATAAACATTGTTTTGATTTTATATATTTCAGTGTCAAAAGTTTATTGAACTCTTGTTTTTGTTCCCAATACAATAAGAATTCCTTACAACATATTTCAAAATAAAAATATTTCAAATTATTCGTAAAATCAAGAATTCAATATATTGAATATCACCAATTTTGAATATTTGATACACTTGGTCAACATTACCTATAGGCAAAGAGTAGTACCGGTATCGTCAAGTTACTGACATTCCTAAATTTGTTTGAAAAAAATCAATTCTTTTCAATCAATGAGATTACATAGGAGGCCAGTAATCAGATTATATCCGAGAAAACCAGATCACGCTAAGCAAAAGCCAAACAAAATAGTTCTGTTGAACTGTAGGTCAAGTAAACAACTCTGTTTTGGATCTCCAAACAATAAAATCAATTTTAAAATACTTTTTCGACAGGTTGAAGTCTAAAAATTTGGAGAAAATGAATCAAATTTTCAGCTTTGATACAATATTTTTAAACTCGTTAAAACTCATTTGGAATTTTATCTAATGAAAACCTTGTTTAATTTTGAGCTTATAAGGTCAACTCACTAGCCTGGCATTGAACCAAGAAATAAGGTAATGGGTCAAAGAAATTATGAAAATATATTTCTCCACAGCAGAACCAAGTTAACTGTTTGAAAACAGTTGGAATATGACAGGAAAGCCTTAAATTAAGAAAAAATAACAAATTGATATAGTGAATGTAAATTCCTATATCACACCAATAGACAAATCCAAATAAAATGCTAAAAATATTTTTTACAAGAGGGAAAACTTTGATACTAAGCAAATATTGTGGCCTGAAAGTATCACTCTTAGCAATATAAGTAAAATAGTCTGATCAGATATGAACTAGCATAAATACGAGGATATTGTGTTAAATTATCACAAGTTGGTACTTGATCAGAGCTTGAACAAAATAGGCAAACAAAACATAATGGCAGTGTTGCTTTGACACTACAATGAATGAGTAAAGGTCATAGGTCGCTCGGCAGCCCATTGTTCATTCCCTTGAGAGCTGACGATCTGTTGCGGCTTCTTATTATGTTAGTATGTTTAAAGAATCTTAACACCGCTTCTGTTATATTTGATTTTTCATTTTTCAAATATAGCCTACTATTACAAAACAAGTCATTTTTGCAGTAAAGTAAATAATGTAAATTAAGAAATACCGAAAACCAAATTTTTATTTTCCATAATTCATTCTAAAAAAAACTATTCCAAATATGGGATATATCCAGATTGGCTATGTTTAATAGAGAACACAAAATTGTTGCATATTCACGAGATTATGGTAATAGTAGAGAAAACTTGGATTACGAAAATATGTTTCGAATGTTTTACCATTCTGTACAGTTCTTAAAATTTTACTTTTCTTGGTCTGACTGTCAGATATCTTACAATAAGAATTTTTTGCAGGAAATTATTAAAACTGATTCTAAAAATAAACCATTTATTAATATAACAAATTATTTCTAAAATTCAATTCGAATATGTAGGAGTATACAACCCTTATTTGACTGTTGAAAACAATTAGTAAAATAAGTGTGTTTGGGGGTTTTTTAGATGAAATTTCAATATATTTCATCACTATTGAAAGTCTGCAATTCCAAATAAGACTGTTGGAAATTTCGAATTTTGACTCAGTCTTTGCAGCGTTTGAAATATGACTCCGGCTGCTTAAGATAAAACATGCTGGATGAAAAAAAGCAAAAATAAAAAGTTATTAACAAACCTTAGCTTCTTCCTGTGTGTTTGCATATTCATCTGACGACAGTTCACCTTCAATGGCATGAAGTTTATCGAGTGCGTCTAATGCGTCCCAGATAAATTCTTCGAATGCAAGACGAAGTTCGATCCATTCATCGTGATCATATGTCAATGTGCCGCTGATATCTGGAGTCAATTGTCGTGGATCGAGAACTTTGCATAAACTGTCGACTGAGACGAGTTGAGTCTGAAAGCAAAGAGGAAAGATTGATCAGCATGTTTGTATACAGGATTAACTTTCAATTCCTTTCAAAATTTGTAGGCATTTCAGGCTCATCAGCAAATAACTGTATTACTATACTGAATCAATTTTAGAGTAGATTTGATTGTTATGACTATTTTTTATATGACACGAATTATTTGTAGGTATAAGCAGCAAGTGATTTTTAGAGGGATATTACTTTTTGGAGGACCGGAATCTTTACGATTCCGATTTCCGATACACCCTGGGTGAGGAGCATTTGGCTTTATGCCTCCGTTTCCATTGAAAACCTACCGCTTCTGACAAAAAACTGCTGTAACCCCTTTGATTCACGGGAGCCAGAGCTCCGAGAACAAAGAGCCACATGCAGCTCCGGAACCGCAGGTTATAGATCGCTGATCTGGAGCAGGGCTACTCGACTATTTTCATCAAAGATCTACCTACAAAGCTCCAATATTAATGAAGTACGAGCTTTCAAGAAATTATAATTCTACATCCTTAAACGCGCATTTCCTTGACTGGTTGATGATTATTCGCTGATCAAGATAACGATATTCGCATTGTTTATTATGTCGTTACAGTTCTTTGCATTTATAGTCAGGTGCAAATATGAGCAAATTATGAAATAACCTTCGAAACTACAAGTCATATAATTAAAACTTTTACATATCTAATGATCCAAAACAAAAAATTAGGTGAGGTTCGAATCGAATACTCGAAAAAGCCCGGATCCAGACCTTGGTCCGCCAGTTGAGTAGCCCTGATCTAGAGCACCAGATATGAAATGCTCGAAATAGCAAATTTTTAAATGAAATTATTCTACATCATTACTAAAACCAAAAATTAAATATATATTTAAATTCAACTATACGCGTATTTGAGTTGGATATCCCATCCTATTAATAAGTATTAGCAACATACAGAGTTAAGTCAATTTAACTATAATCCAGAATATTCAGAATAAATAACTATTGATTCATGAATTTACGAAAAGACGTTACAATACACATTCTTTCTATTTTTGTATAAGTTTAAATCTTCTTTGAATCAATAATAAAAGTTAGAAGTTGATTAGTATTGATACTTTGCAATGTTTAAATACTTCTCAATTTAGGAGTATATATCTGATGCAGTATTGATTTTCAATACAATGCACAACCGCAGCTGTTATTTGAAATTGGATATACTTAATACCAGAAACTCTATTATAGAGCCATTGAAGCTATTCAATATAGGAAACATATATGGAATATGGTGTGTATACTATACTCAGTACATATTAATAGAATTGTGATGGGTTGGATTACATACATAGAGAAGGTATAGTCAAACTCAATATTACCAAAGTTAATAATGTCCTTATCCAAGAGCACTCCAAAAGAATATTGGTAGATATCTATATTCAAAATCATGCGCTAAGATTCTGTGATTATTGATGCGTTGAAATTCACCAGTACCGTAGGCAATGCAGAACCAGAAAGATACAAGCCTAAACTATAATAGCATCTTACTTAGCCATAGCTGCTTGTGCAGAGACTTGTTCAGAGTGGATGTATACATAATTGGAATAATAATATATAAAATTGTTTTTGTTTGATATCCAATTTTCTATAGTTTGATGAAGTAATTTTTTGTTTTGTGGTAAAACGAAAAATTTCCAAATGTACCAGCAATTTTTTCCAGCTTTTTCGAACCATTGTTAACGAGAAACATTAGAAATTAAAAATCTCTATTGTACTTTTATATATTATTTTATTTGTTTGGGTATCCCAAAATAAAAAAAATTGTAGGGTAAGACAAACAAAAATCTAGCCTCAATTCCTCTATTAAATTGAGCAAGTAAACACAACTTTTACTAGATGACACAAAATTAACTTTTTCTTTCAACTAATTAGATAGTAAACATTGATACTTAAGTATTATTATAACAAAGCTAAGGGTCATTCTCAAATCTCAACATTCCTCAAATGGTTTGGAATAGTCTAAGTATACATAGAGTAGAATACAAATAGTAGTTATTAAAATATATATGTCTGAGAAAGTCAGACATAGGTCCAATGAAACGTTACAGAAATATATCCGTATTAGTGTGAAGCAGGACATTTTAATCACTTAGAACCATAATGTTAGTTACTAATTCGGTATGAAAATAAATCGGGTTTAAAAAAAAAAAATTTTTTTTACATTTTGAACGGCGTGTATTCAAAACCCTCAATTTTGACTTATTGATATTGTGCCAGTATATATCATCATATCCACTAAAAAATAGCATTTTTATTTTAAGTTTTAAAATGAACCTTGTGCTTAATTAAAATAAATCTTGTGAAATTTGACATTAGTGAGTTAAAAACAAATATCACACTGCATTAGCTTATTTGCATACTTCCATTCTGTCACTCTACTCTCTAGTAAAATTAGAAACTTATTTATAGTTCTGATTACAGATTAGCATTGCCGATATTCAGCTTTTATAAATAATTCAAACAAATTTATTTTCAGCGTAATCATGTTAAATATCAAATTTTACTGGGCGAAATATCTAAAATTGACATCAATTTTTATTGACAAATTGCATATTAAATAAAAAGGTAATGGCAGTAATTTTTAGTAAAAAATATTTCTCACTCAAATATAATATGTCGATACTCGATAGCATTGTTTAATTAAATAAAATTCTACAAGAATACCCAGTTCAGATTCCAAAAAAAATTTTATTAATTTTTTTGTAAGTGAAACGAAAAATTGCTTTTTTGACTGAATAGCCTATTCAATAATATCAGAAAAATGATATAAGCAAGACATTAAGGCACCAAATACATAGGTATTCATTGTTACTTTGGTATTGAACATACTTGCAAACAACAAATGTATTATATAGCGGGCTTTATTGAGAAGTAATGAAAATATTGATTTAAGGTCTTGCCAATATTTAGAAGTCTAAACAAATAAATTTTTTTCTCTGCCGTGAATCATCAGTTAATTTGACTGAGTATGTTTATTACCAATAATTCAAAATAATAAAATAGCTAAATAATGGAACGTAAACGAAGATGGAACATTCATTTCACTAAAACTTTAGATATGCCTTTGCATTATGAGGTGTTTTCACAATTTCACTCCATGGCCCTCTTTCAAAGACTCAACACTTGTAGGTGTGGCCCCCTACCCTTCTATGAAAATACTGAGCACAAGTTTGATTTCATCAGTAATTTTAAGTGTTACATTACATAATGCAAATGCAACAAATGAAAGCAAAAGAATGAAAGCATTACTGACGTTTCATTACTTTAAATAAATGTAGTCATTGAGAATGGGGTGCTCCCGAAGTATGCGAACCAAGATGACGAACATCGGAACGTAACATGGGTAACAGGTTAGGGTTAGGCGATAATTTTTTTCCAATTTTCTCTATTTTAGTCCTACTATCAGTTCGAAGACTAGCCAAGAGCCTCCCGTGGTATTCATACCTAAAATTATGGCCTAACCCTAACCTAGTACACATGTTACATTCCGATGTCCGCCATCTTGGTTCGCATACTTCGGGAGCCCCGAGAATGGTACCTAATGAAGGCCCAGCAGTTAGGGCTGGGCATTTTCGAATACTTGATGATTTCAGAATAGAATTTCGAATACTTGGGAGATGTAAAATTGCAAGTATCTTTCATTAATTAACGACCATTGGCGGAAAGAAAAAAAAAGATGGCGGCGATTTGAAATTTTGCTTGAATGTTCGACTCGAAATGCCCAGCCCTACCAGCGTAACACTCTGTGGCACCAGGGGGCCCAGAGAAAGCCATGTTATACGAAATAATGTGAAAATCAATAATAGGGCAGTGGGGAACAGTGCTTACTAAATTAACCATAAAAGTATATTGAAGTCCTTTAATATACCTACATGATACATCCTAGAAGGGTTATACAATACTCACTTCGAAAGAAAACTTTGTGCTCCCAAAATTAGTTCTTTGTTTTTGCCAGAAATTGTCAGGTTTTATAATATAACTAATGTTGATCTTTCCAGGAAAACCTTCCTGCAAGGCTTTCAGTAAAGGTTTGACAGAATTCCATGTCGAACCACGCATGTCCATTATCACAGTGAATCCAATTTGCGCTACCTCCTCACTGTATAATAAAAAACAATTAGAATAATTGAATCATTAGTAAATACAAGAGATTAATGTTCAAATATATTAACGCAAAGGCCAAATCTCGAAACAGTGTTTACTTGAATGAAAATAAAACAGAAAAATTATGAGTAGGCCCCAGAAAAAAATTTGAAAAAAATAAAATTATAGCCTGCGACTGATCTATTGGTCGTTGAAAAGATTGATTTTTCTTCATAATAACAACAACAACGAAAACAACAACAATTCAGCAGAGTAATCCATAATTCCACTTGTGTCCAACCAGGTTATACAGTAAAAAAAGTACATGTAAATATGGAATGGTTTTTATAGAGTGCGTTCTTTTCACATTCATATCAATAAAGTGTAGAAATGCTCCCCTCTGAGGCCATGTATATTTCAACATTTGAAAACAATAGGTCAAAAATGTCTTTCATTCATACAGACAACATGCCGAGATAATAAGTGTTGTATAGTTTGTATTAAAATGGGAGGGACATAGCGGCTTGTAATGTATTCACTTTCTGATACGATGAATTCCATGAATAATGATGTGCCAATGTAAGTGAATCAAATAGGAAAGTATAATTTGCTATTTTTATGATAATTGTCTTTTTCAAAATGTTATGATGAATAGGCAATTCAATGAGTGAATCAGAATTTGAAAAAACTGATTTTTCTCTTATAAGTTAAAATAGTACAGAAGTTTTATCAGACGTTTACTGAAGATTCAGTGCAAAAGCATTACTATAGTTGCCTGAATAATAATTTTTTTCAGCGCTTATATATATAAGGAGATACAATTTCATAAAGAAACGGTTCAGCATTTTCCACCCAATTTATTACACCCTGGGTGAGGTGATGCTGAAATAGCTCGTGTAATTAGTAGCATTTCAAATTTTCTGGGCTAGTGAATAAAAACAATGCAAATCCATCATTAAATAGGATTTCCAATGTCTAATCTGAGATAAGAAAAATGGGATAAATGTGTTAAGCATAAGACTGTTTTTCACAATCGATTGACCTGAATAATCCTATAATGATAATTCGACAAAAGGCCTTCCGGAAGGTCTTTTGGCCTTCCGGAAGGCCCTTTTAATCAAATAGTTTTGAAACCTGATTTCGTGTAGTTTGATTTTGAATTTTCTTTAGCTTATGGTATTAATTGATTGCCAGTTACTCATGAACACAATCATAGGTTACAATTTCTATAAAACATTTTAGTTTTTTATCACTGACCTATTTACTTTTAATAAAAATTTCAATTTTTTGAAAAATTTGAAAAAAATCAATTTTTTAAAATCCTCATTTCTCAAATAAAAAAACCTTTGTGATCTAATTTTTTCATGTTTATGAATTTCTTGTATCATGTTGTTGCACTGAAAAACTAAATTTGCTAACAGAAAAAAGCGTAAATACAATTTTTTTTGTAAATTATAAATTTTTCATCAAAAATTTTAAACGATAGGTTTTATAAGAGGGATTATTGTTTAAGTATATTCAGTTAGGTACATTTTTTTCTCTAAAAACCCAGAACACAAATACCTAATACCAAAAAAACTTCCAAAATTAATACTAACAAAAACAACATGATGGATGGGAGACCCTTTCAAAATTTTTCTTGAAAAGGGCCTTCCGGAAGGCCCTAAGACCCGGTATCTGGCAACCTAAAAAACTTCTATTTTCAGTAATTAGAGAATGTACCACTATCAAATAAATAAGTAATGTTATTTTAAGCCATGTTATCTGAAAAGAAAGTTACATTTTTCGTTTTTGATGGGAGGAAAGGTGTTCCCCAAATGACAGCTGGGCATTAATTTTCAGTAAATGAAAGACGATCACTCATTGAAAGTCAGCGCCTACTTGGACAATAAAACTTTTGAATTTGAATTGTTTGCTCGTCATGTAAAGAATATCATGCAAGATTTGGTTGATATGTTGTCATTATTAATGAAATATAACATCCAAAGATGAGCATTTATTAGTAGAAAACCCATGTTGCTCTAAATTGACAGTGGTCACAAGAGCGCATTAGTTACGCATCTTAGAAAACCAAAGGATCCAGTACCCACATTATAATGATGACAGTGACAAATTTCAAATAGGTTTCTGCTACTTGCAGTCTAGGGATATTTCCAGAGTGCCATTCTCATTTTGTTTCTAGCTAGTTAAAATTATCCTTTTATCAAATTTATCTGCAAACAAATTTGGAAGTTTGGATGTGCAACTCACTATACCATTAATAATTCATCCTAAGGCTCTGTCTCCACTTTGCCTATCATTCTCTGCTGTAAGGGGATTGTATCCATGTCTTAATCAGACTCTATGTCTTATTAATCAGACTCTGTCACTTTCTTCGTCTGAGAATGAAAATACATTCATCTCTGTTAGTTCACTGTCTATGCTGCATGCTAAGAAAGAACTCAGCACATTCACTAACTTCCTTTTCTTTCTCAACTTCAGAATCCTAACTCTCAGTCTTTTTTGGTTGCTACCTAAACTGCTGTTTGGTTGTTCTTCATTCATTCAAACCAAAGCTACCGGTACTCTCTGCATTGTGCCCAAAATAATTTCCTAATTCGAATCTTTCTTAAGTTCTTTCTATGTTCTCTTCATCTGAAACTCCAGGTCTTGAATCTTTATAGTCTATTTCACACACTGTAATATTATATCACAATTCACAATGTACTATCATAAAATTTCACTCTAGCTTTCTCTAAAAACTTGAAAAGTATCAACCCAGAAACCACATCCAAGCACAAATTATAATGATACTGTATATAGTAGCAATCAATTTTAAAATTTGAAATATTCTTCTGTATAGCTCAACCTTAACCTAAATATATTTATTATGTTAATCAATAACATAAAATTATAATTTGTGTTTAATTTTGGCTTCCTTTCGAAAAAACAGGCTTTCCTCTCAATATTGAGGGTCCACATCGACACATATAACTGATTATTTTTGTAGGGCCTTCCGGAAGGCCCTAACATTTTCTATAGTAATGTCCAACTTTTATATATCATTAAACATTCTGTATTGCATTTTGTTTCTCAATAAATCAAGTAACCAACATGAAATCATGCCTCATGCAAAAAAAAGTACCTGCAATTGCGAAGAAAATATTTTTTGACACCGGAACAACAAAAATTAATCTAATATTCTGATCAATAAACTAGGTAACTTGCTTATAATTGGAGATATGAAGACAAAATAATGACTATGTCATCTGGTAATCGCCAGGCTTGCAACTACAACCTTTATTGCTTTCATTCAAAGCCCTGTACTCTTCAATTTGGTCAAAATAGTTGAATAGTGTAAAAAAAACATAGGGCCTTCCGGAAGGCCCTTTTGTCTACATGTTTATACAAAATTTACGACATTATCGAGTGGTAGCAGTTCATTCCAATCACATTGCAATTGTTGTAAATCTATAGAAACTTGCAAAACAGTAAAAAAAAGTGCCTCGATTAATACCTGGGTTGCCCATAATTGCGATTTTTGAAAAATATATAAAAATTTTCATAGGTGACAAAAAGTTCTTATTTTCAATAGTTGAGCAGACTAATAAAAACTATATATGTGCAGTAGCTGTTAAGTGTCTGTAAATAACCTTTAATGAACTATTCAAAGCTGAAAAACTAGGAAGTTTTTCTGCTATATAATACTGTGAAAATTTATTGTAAAAATGACCTAAAATAGGGCCTTCCGGAAGGCCCTTTTTCAGTCGAATTATCAATAATACATGAACCTAATTGGCAAGTGATATAATACTGCAAAATACGTATAAAACGCGGACAATTTAGCTAATGATTGGGTCTACGGATCACAAATACAAATTATCTAAAATGTTCAAAACTTGATATTTTGTGCCAGAAAGTTGATTTTAAGAAGATTGACTAGAATAGTAAAATTTATATTACAGAATCAACAATAGTCATTGTGAACATGTAATGGGTATCTGTTACTTGATAGAGCATGGATCAGCCAGACTGTCCCAAATATCAAATTCTTCATTTTTTCATTCTTTCAATACCAATTTCATCATACAATTTTTTCAGGAATTTTACTCAAAGCGAAATCACGCACACTCACTTACTGAGAAACAAAAAATGCAATCCCTTGGTGAAATTATGAAGAGAACCGAATTGCCAAGAGCTATTGACAGTATAAAGAATTTTAGCGGGAAATAATATGATAGTATATAGAGATTTGCGTTATTTTCTGCCTTATAATTTGTATCTATAAATATTATTTCATATTGTATTTGGAACAGTAGAACTATTCCATAAGTCCATAACAATGCTCGATACATATAAATGCATAAGAAATAAAAAAATATTTCGGAATTTAAAAATTGAAGATTCAATTTGTACGTCCTACTATATTCATTGCCAGACTCAGTACAACATCTTTTGGCAATCAGCCTAAGACACACTTACATAAAGTATATAACACAAAAAACCCAAGAGACTTGACACTACCACAATGCTAATGATAAAATAACCGTGACAATGACAGATTGTTCAATGGATAGGTTTAACAAATCGGCGTGGGAAAATCAAACATCAAAAGTCTACAAATTACCAAATTGTAAAAATGTGGTTTAACATCTCAGATATTAGTGAAACCCCTGGGTATATAAGAACTACATTATCTTCCTGTTATACACCTACTAAGATTAAATTAAAAACTGATAAAAAATGAAGATTTTCATGAGCCAGTGTAACAGTATAATATGAATATCCTATAAACAAGGTCAATTATTAGCTGGACATCTGAAAGATGATAAAAACGTTTGGCTCCAGAAGTGTGTGAACCAATATGGAGGTAACTAATTTTGTTCGCCTACTTTACATCAAGTTGTGTAAAGGGACAGAAGCCTATGGGCAGGGGGTATATTCACTTGGCTAACACAGACAGTCCTTTAATAACTCGTAATAGAACTAAAATAAAGAAAATCACAAAAATAAACTATAGCCTAACCCTAACCGAAACACACTACGAGAGTTCCAAAACTATTGCGTAAGTTAGTGTTACAACATATGCATTACCTATCTATTGATAAGGTTTATTATTACCTTGGTACGCTGGCAAGATATGACAATAAATGTCTCATGTCATCAGGCTTAATTCGATCAGTATTTTGACGAGCTGGAAAGGTGAGAATAGGTCCGCCATTCTGATCTCTTCCCCCTAAAAAAATTATTCAAAAATGACACAATGATACACAATGTTTTTTCTTCCTAAATCACAAATTTCCCACAAATTTAGGCCACGATAACAATGATAATTATTTTATTTTTGTACTCTCACAGAAATGTGACTCCGATGAGAGTTATTATACATTCATCGGCGGCGAGGTGCTAAAGACAACTTCGCAATCCGCAACAAAAATTTTTTGATTGAAAAACGGCAATATAAAATACTAAAAATAAAACAGTAAACTATATAAGTTTTGTTGTAAGAGTAAACGCGAATAAACCAATAGTTGGCAAATAACGGGACAAGGAAGTTATATAAGTTGCATTACTTCCTGTGGGAGGTAACAACAAATATCAATCAACATGTTACAGTTTTATTCTGATTCGCAGAAGCAACATGCCAATATTATGTTCTGAGTTAAAAGACAGAGACACATGGTTTAACATGGTCCAGAGTAAAGGGACAGTTGTGTAAAGGAACAGAAAGAAGCCTATGGGCAGGACGCAGGAGGTATATTCACTTGGCTAGCACAGACAGTCCCCTAACTTGTAACAGCACAAAAATATGGAAAATCGGAATAAAATTATGCCCTAAAAAGGCCCCTAACCCCTAACCTAGTACACACTACGGCAGTACCTATGAAAATGTATAATCTAAAAAAAACATACCTGATAAAAAAGCTATTTTTTCTTTTAAAGGTTCAATCAAATCAATTGCTTTTAATCGTTCTCCCATGATGACCGATGAAATATATCCAGTTACGATTATATTTTTTGTTGCCTATATCCAATAGTTACGTCTTGTTTACTTGCTGAATGAATCACAACAATAAACAAAATCGTCCATGCTTTCAGACATAAGTCTTGATGATTACACATTAAACTAAACTCAAGTCTGTAAAAAATTAAAATAATAGATTTTACTCTCAATGTTTTTTCCGTCCTCAGCATAAAGTAGACATAGAAATATGAACAAAACAATGTCCACAAAAAGTGAAATATCAAAGCCATAATTCTGAAGAAATCTTTGGTATTTCGAACAAGTGGAAATACCAACCAATATAGCTTAGCGGTAGCTGGCAGTGACCAACATAGTAGGTGGTGCAAGTTGGGGATTGCCTTATGAAGGCAGTTAAAACAGAAACATTAGTGCATTCAATTAGAAGATTTCAAATAGTCCAGATTGCGGACAATATGTTAACTTTAGTAATAAAATTTGTCACAACCTATAAAAAAGCATGGTTAAACAATTTTCATCTGAAAAAGATTATTTTGAGTGTACATGATAGGTATGCCATTAAGATTCCAAATTCAAAATACTGATAAAATTCAGTCACACGAGGAATAAAAATTGCACTAATAACTAGTGATGTAATTATGCAATGCAAATATCTGATCATGACATTATTGATTATCAACAACAAGTAACTACACCGCTAACCTGAAATAGCGTTGATCTGCATTAAATCATAGAATAGAATGCTTGTCTTATTGAAACATTTGAGTATGATAAATCAGATATTACACTACTAAATCATAAACCATAGATAATATAATTTTAAATCAAACTGACATTGAAAGAAGAAACTGCAGTTAGATTTGTGTAAGAACTATGAATGTATATTCTAAATAGCGACATTCTGAAGCTATTTTTTATTAGATTTTATCACACAAAGATATGAAATTATTAATTAAACATGAATCACAATTTTACCACAAAATACTGTCGATCTTATAAAAAAGCGATACAAACTAACAGATGTATTTTTCAATGATTCCTAATAACCCTCATTACATTATGTTACAATATCTGAACCAGAAACATACATCAATTGGATACAGATTGACCCCGAAAAATCAGAACCATTTGCAACATATTCTATACCGTGTCCGGAAAATTCACCTAGCTTTCCGTAGATTTCCTACGGCAGAATTTCCTGCAACGAATTTTCCTAGAACCATTCTATAGAGAGAAAATAACTGAAACTTCTAGGGACACCCATACATAAACAGAAAATCAAGCGCATAAAATAAAAGTGTAGAAGTGTATACAAAATTTATGTGTCCTGTTATTTTCGGTGAGGCAGGCCGGGTGACACAACATAAGTGTGCAAGATTGAATTAATCAATGAATTTCAGGCCAACTGAGTTCAGGTGACTCAGAAATGCACTTCATCACCATAATAATAAATCTAAGAAAAAATTTTCAATTACCGTATCGGTACCTAATTGCCTACCATATGAGGCAATATCCAGACATGATTTGCAAAATTTTCTAAAAAATAGTCAACAAACCTCAAACAAGTAAGGGTCTAAAAATAACCTGTTCTTTAATTAGAATTTATTCCCTATTTAACATGACAACAGAATGTAAGGTCATATTGACAATCTACCAGATGTAAACACTCAAAATAGAACAGTAAATTTGTCTTTCCTAATGAGGCAAACATCTCACAAGATTAAAAAAAGATAAATGTAACATTGTGAGTCTCAGTGTTCAAATAATATACACTGCCATATGTTAATAAATCTCAATCAAAATAACAAAAAATGTAGCCATTACCAAATCATTATTCAGCATGGATATTAGGTTTCAACGTTCTTCATTACTCTGCTAGCTATCATGTTTTGTTTAAGTACTTATCTTTTCTATTTGACCTCTAAAACAGGCATTTATGTAGAGTTTTCTGTGGGGTGTCAACACAAAAGTCATCAGTAAATGTCCCATGTTGTATTATGAGCCTGTGAACTGCGATATCAATTTAACACTAAAAAGATCCAAATATTAGAAAATATATGTAACATTCAAACAAATCGAAGAGAAAATAGATAAGCACAGCCAAGGTATCTTTAAGGTGCATCTCTATTTATTGGTAAGAGCATTCTTTTCAACATTATCATATCAAAAATATTTAGTTAAACCTAGAGCATGTTAGATATAACCCTCAAGCTACCCACAAAAATTGAAATAAATTATTTCAGGATATCGTCAACTCATCAATTTTAATATGTAGGGGAAGCGTCAACTTATACTCACATCAGTAATGTTAATTCTTCAGTTTAATGCACCCTCTCATCATACACAATATACCATAAGCAAAGTTTTACTGATTATTTTTATAATATTCTTATATTTTTTTTTTCATTTTGCCTTGAACATGAAAAAAATTTACCCATAACTATCAAAACTTGAATCTCGCAATTACAAAACGAACAACCCTGCAGACAGCACATACCATACCTAATTTTATCTAATCTGCGGGATCGGCACAATTTCAATATTTTGATATCAAAAAAAGTCCTAGATAAGTGAAGCCGCATGAAAATATCCCTTGAGGCAGGATTGCCCATGTTTTGTGTCGTATAAACGACGTGAGTTACGCGAGATAATTCATTTCGTGGCATCTAATTTGCGTTCTAATAAGATCAATTTTGTACGACGCGCGAATTTTATAATTTCAAAATTCCGAACGACAAATAAATACTACTATTCAGTTGTACAATTTTTGACGATGTATAAAGCTAGCGACAAAGCGCGCTTTAGTTTCTCAAAAAGAGTGTGTTTTATTTAAAAGGCACTGAACGCAAAGCGCCGAATTGTCAGTATATTATAACCGCAGTGGAGGCACCATCGCGAACGTGTAAATTTGAATAAACGGCTTTTCGGAATATAATAGATTTCGTTTTAGATACAAATAGCTTCGAACGCTTTCTATTATCGCCGAGAAAAACTCGACAAAACTATTACATAAATGGTCCAAAATTACACAGGACAAAGCAATTATAGCAAAATAGCTCGGTGTGACTGTTAAAATCGCCTCCATAACTTAATGGCGTTACCGTATTTACAGTTGAATTTCACCTAATTTACTTTAAACTTAAAATTCTTACACCGCCTTTAAAATGAACTTACCTCACTGAGCCTTTGATCGATCGCTAACTTTGTCCTTGACCTTACGTATCACCAACAAAAGATAAAAGTTTCACAACCGCTGATAGTAGTTAAACGTAACTTTAAGCGATAACCATCGGTGAAATTTGGAAGTTCTAAAGTCCCGCACACGGCAGAAAACGACGACTGTTAAAAATTGTCCGCGTAATAATACACCATTTCAACGTCATGTTTATCGATTTTTCCAAAAAGACTTTCTCCTTAGGTAACACTAACATAGTGTATCACATTTGTCGAAGATTTTAATCTGCCAAGCGAAGTCCAACGATGATAAATAAAAATTCCTCGAGCGCGTCATAAGTCAACGGTGATATACCGAACTAAATATGTGGAACAATTTTTCCGTACGCTCCGATTATTGTCCTAACATTTCAAATGAGAATTGATCATCGGCGGATTGGCCATTTTTTTCCGAATTTGTAGTATATTTCCAATTAGATCCTGTAATGGCGGTCTTTCAATTTTTCTAGCAATTGAGTAAATATACCTGGTTTCCACCCGCCGATCAAATCCTTGGCATTATCGATGTACAAGATGACAAATTTTAAATTAACGTCGGAAGTATTTCAATATTACAATCTTTTCCGATAACCGTATATCGAACAGTGTCGTATCATTGCAACATAATCATGATCAATCGAACACTTTTCAATTTATTCGCGCGATTATGCATCTCCTTTTAGTCATTTTAACAAAGTTGCGGAATAACATAACCATTCGGACAAAGTTAGGTCGTATCTAAAAAGTGCCACCACCGTAACGACAAAAATGTGAGCAGCGAAATGACGCATCACTATGCTACGTCATAAGTTGTTTTTGTTGCGGCGCGGTTGATCAAATTTCATGAAATCTAATCGTGACCCGGATTTAAAATTTACCTATAAATCGGACCCGATCGAAAAAACACGGATAAAGTAATTTGGGTTCATGGCATTTCAGATAGGAGACTGGTATGGTATATGTTTAATAACCAAAACTTCAATCATTTTGACCATGTTCGCAGACGAACGTAATGATTTTTTTGCGTTCACCTGTGTAAAACTCAGTAATAGATGTTTGCTAGCAAAGACATACGTGTCAGACAGATTACTGTTGGACAGTTTTTGATTGTTGCCGTCAGGGATGGCCAATTCGAATAAAGTATTCGAATGTATTCGAATATCTCGTCATTCGAATATCGGAATTCACGTTCATAAGAATATCGGATATTTGTGTGACGTCACACATTTTCGACGCCGCTTTCAAGACGTTTCCGTTAAATGAAAACATTCTCGATAAAAACTTGCGCGTGATTGTTTTCATCACTCATCAGCGTAACGTGTTATTTAGGCCCGTAAACGCCTTTACAATTGTGTTATTTTATTTTCTCTAAAACGAAAATTTTCCACAAATTTGTTCCACGATAACGATAACATTTTTTTTATTTTTGTACACGCAGGGAATTGTGAATCTGGTAAATACGTTCATCGGCGGCGAGTTTCTAAAGACAACGCAACTTTTTGATTGAAAAGCGGCAATTTGAAATACTGAAAATAAAACCGTAAACAATATAAGTTTTATTGAGGCCCGCGAAAATTTGAAAAACGCTTTTCTAGGCAGTGAAAATCGCAAAATTTCGTGTGCCTCTGGCACACATTATGTTTGGTCGGCGTTTAGAAACATATCGTCACTAATTGAGGGCGGGATTTGCCTGATTATCCATTACTTTAAATTTCCGTCGAATATTTTCGTGTTAACACGATACAAGGTTCGAAACGCGACTTTTTCCCGGGTTGTGAGGATGTATATAATATAATTAATCTAAAGTATATTCAATCAATTTGATGAAATAATTTTTACTCTGAGATATTACAGCATATTTATGGATTTTTCGAACGGTTTTATCTAAAAATCCGAGAGGCAGCATTTCGATCGAGCGGAGTCACTGTTAACAAGTACATCTA